CGTTCTTGTATTTAACCAAAGGAAAGTTTTTTTAGGCTTTAGCAGATTATTGTAACTAACTAGTGAGTAGTAAATAAATACACAATTTCAGGTGAATAACTTTTATTATAGATGAGAAACTGTAACAACACTATAATATATTATTTCATCAATTTTTCAATTACTTAAGCTGACGAAATACGACAGAAAAATGCTGATTTCAATGTCTCATTTTAAGAAACACATATTAACTCAAAAAAAAGTCTTCTTCTCAAACATAATTTCAATTTTTTCGTGGGTCGATAGAAGAAAATAAAAAGTTTAGCTAAAATTTCATATAATGTTTGCTGTGTAATTGGTCAAGATGATCTGAATTCTATCATTCATATTTTCATCGATTGAATTGAACTAGATAATTGGGTTGCATAAAATATCTGTATTTGGTCTATAGAGTATAATTGGAGCGTATTAAAGTTCAAACAATAATCTTCTTGAATTAACAAATAACATACTTCGCTGTATATTGAACAAGTCGTATTTCCTCGTTCATTTTGCACTTTATTTAGTTTCATTAAAATGTGAATAAAAACAAATATCATTGTAGACAGTTATCATGGTCATTTAAAATTTCATTGCCAAACACATTGAAATCAGTTGTTCCGGATAAAATATATTCAGAAATCAGGAAAATCAGCAGTAATTCAGGTCGATCAAGAACAAGTTCAAAAACATTGTGTACATCCTAGAAGACTCACATCGGTGATCAATAATAACAGACATATATTGATTCAAGTAAAGCTAGAATATATAAATAGTCTGTTGAATATCAATTGTCATCAAAAGAGAATGTATTCTCTTTGTTATAGGTATATCAATATATTTCCTGAAACTTACAATGACGATCTTGATTATGAAGCTAAAATTAGTTGATTGTCTAGTTCTCTTCGTTTCATGGTTTTTCTGTATTTTTTTCACGTCATCAGTGATGTTTTGGTTCTACAATATGAGCATGCTCCATTTTATGGTCACTTTTGTCTTTTTCCTTCGCGTTTTTGCTTTGTGTACAGTTGTTTTTTTTTGATTGAACAAAAAAGTGTTAGCAATTAGGAATTAATCCTTTCCTTCAGTAACATGAGTGAGCACCCTTAATCTATTGCATTTTAATCAATATAGTAAAGAAAAAGAATTTCGTCAAACGAATGGTCAAGTTATTTAGTAAGATAGGAATTGATGAGATACATGTCATTTTATTAAACAGTTTAAATCTGATAAAAGTGAAAGTGAGCTTTAATCATTCAACTTAGAAAAAAAAGCAAAATTAAGGATAGATTTGTGGACCCCTCCGAAGAATTCATTCCTCATCTTTTATTAGGTAATGAGCATCCATTCGTTCTATTTATTCAGTCAATTTGATCTTACGAGGGAGGTACCAGAAGTGATTCACCGCTTTAGAGCCCATACTTTGGGCACATCGAGGGGATATCTAGACTAGAATAATCCTAAAGGATTTGGGTTCATGGCCCTTTTGAGCTGAGATATTGAATTTTCAAGTTTTAGCAGGTAAGAAGGATTTTGATCCTCTATTGCGATAATTTCGAACACAAAAATGTTCTGTTATCTAGAAATTTCATAAAAAACTCGCTGTTTCATCAGCAAACTACTGTGGAATTTTCATATTTCCTCTCGTTTCTGTAAGCTACAATGTTGTTTCTGTAATATCAGCCATCATCACAGAGGCAGTAGTCCACGAATGTCAAATAGTAGATGCATATTACAGACATTCTTTTTCGTTCTTTTTTGAGAATGATGAAAAGGAACGATATGATATGAATGATGCGTGCTGTGATGTGATATTGTTAATCGAGCGAAGCATTCTTCATCAAATAACACGTTCTTTACCCTTTTGTGTAACAAAAAGATGAGTCATTCCGGAAGAATCACGAAACTTTTATTGGATCGAGTTACTGAGCGTGAAGAACCAGATCGTCCACGATCGAGAGCAAGTCCACTTGAAGAAGAAATCGTACGCTTCTTGCTCGAAGTAATCGAAAATGTTCACAAGTGTACGTCATATGAAGTTGAATCAGAAACAACGCTCGATCACGATGATGATGACGTATTCAGCGATTTTGAAGATGAAAGTATTGATCCAAATTTTGATGAGACCGAAGATGTTGAGAGTCCACCGATTACAATGAACTTCGCTCTCTACTACATGAAAAAAGTCATCGATTACTATGATGCTCGTGACTCGACTGGAAGAAAGAGACATACATGGAAATCCACAAAGCATCAATTCAAATCCATACCTCATCGACAGTATATTGCTCGCTTTCGCCACTACATTGAGCAAAATGGTACAAAACGAGAAAAAATGTGGATCATAGATGATTTCGTCTACGACAGATTTGAAGAAGCTCGAGAACGTGTTATCTCTATCCATGATCGCGATTGAAGCGATGGACCCTCCAAAAAGTTGCTGAAGATTCGATTCTCAATTTCGAAGCATGTAACCACTGACTGCAGGTCTTCAAACATCGTCATCGCATTTGTTAGAGAAAAATTACGAAACTAGTGGAGTAACTATAAACCTGAAGAAATTCTCAATACTGATCAGGTTGCCCTCGAAGTAGAGATGTACTCGACTAGAACTCTCTCGCATGAAGATGACCATGTTACTTCAGCTCGTGTAAGATCAAAAAATGCCACAACACATTCCTACACTATTCAACCGATGATATCCCTTGCTGGTCAACTTGTCGGTCCTGTCTTTCTTTGCTTGAAAGAACCAAAGTGAAAAATGAGTCACAGTGAATTAACTTGTCTTTTTTCTCTTGTATAATGTAAGAACGTCTTTTTTGCTAGACATCAAAAAGAAATTGTTTACTGGGGGTGTGGGGTGTGGGTGTGTGGGTGTGTGGGTGTGGGTGGGGTGTGGGTGTGGGTGTGGTGGTGGGTGTGGCTGGGTGGCTGAGAGTATTTACTTCGACTACACTCACACCCACCCACACCCACACCCCACACCCACACTCACACACCCACCCACACCCACATCCTTTCACTTAATACAAATAGTATAAATTATGATTACAGCTTATCAGCTATTCAAAAATGTTTACTTTGTTACAAAAAAGATATGCATAATATTGTTAATGATTAATAGTTATATCCAAGATTACCATAGAGAGTACCATATCTGTTAAAATAGAACCTTATAAAAATTCTATTGATTACGATCTGAAATGTTCCGTTAGTTTGAAAGAAAAATATTTGAAAATCTTTCTGTTCAATGGACCTTGAAAAACATTTTTGGTTCGAATACTGTCTCTTCATACATTTTAGAATTAAAATTCAATAAAGTAAGAGATTTTTCCTATATAAAAATCTTCACTCTGTCAAATATACTCATAAAATTTCAGATAATTTACAGTCGACTTTGAGCATACAATGAAACAAATCTTGAGAAGAATTTATCATTGTTGAAAATTTTGGGTATGCGTGGAGTATGAGTATACTGGTGACAGAAGAAAAGATACACACCCACATCCACACCTTCAAAATTAAATTGATATTCTAATGTGTGACTAAATCGTAAATGAAGATTAGAGGGAAAAAATTTTTTTCTAGTTGTATATAAGCTGTTGGATGCTCGTCCGATCTGATTCGATACTTTTTCTTGTCGTTGGTGAGAAAAATGATGCCGTTGTCGACAAGTTTATTTTCAATCGGAAAAGACACTCAGTGTCGACAAAGCGGAAAAAATAAAACACGACGACTCGAATTATATTTTCTTTCGTTTATTTTTACTAGGTCATTTGAACAAAAAACTTTTATTCAAGATAAAAGTTTTTAAAAAAATCCAAATGTCACTTCCTGTCAATAACTGAATGATCATTATTGTCATCGAATGACGAGTCAATTTGATCAAAGTTATCTATTGTTGCATTTCTATGTTCTAGAAGTATTTTACCATCTTGTTTGACTGTTTTACGATATGTTTATCTTCACATACTCTTCTTATTATTTCATTTTCGCTATTTTCATTTTTGTTTGATGACTCTTGAATTTGTTTTTCAATAACATACTTTCCCGACAATGTCGTTTCTCGTTACATTGTTATTATTATAGAAGTTCTTGAAAACGCTCCATTGAGACTATGTTTTTCTATAGTAGAATCAAGATTTTCATCAGCATACTGATCATCTACAGAAGATATTAATTTAAGAAGATTCTTTTTTTAGAATAGGTTTTTACTTTGAAAATCTTGTGAAGAAATTGAAAATAAAGTTGAGGGATCAGAGAAAACTTAATCGAAATTAGCGAAAATTTTTTCAATTGAGAAAAATAAACTATTGAATGAAAAATCATCACGATTATTATTATCTTTCATTTTCGTTTTTTTAGCTGCAGAAAATAAACTAAAAGTTGAATAAATTATCGTTTTCAGAATGGAAATTTGAGTCTCATGATAAATGAAAATTCTTTTTTTTGGTATGAACAATCGTTTATTGTAGGTTTAATCAATTGTTTCGAATTTCAATGTGTTTAATAAAACTGAGCAAGAAAAAGGTGCCGGTATGAATATTAAATAGATGCACGTGACACACTTCGCATTTCAATAAACTGAAAGAATTTTATCAAAAAAAAAGTTGCCTAACAGCTCTTCTCCTATAAATTTAATTCAATCACCAGCTTTCTCTGTTTTCTAATTAAAACTGGTTACAGTTCACAAAAGAAAACTAACAAACCCTATATTTTCTATATTTTGAAAATGAACTCTGATACCAATTGAGTAATTCAATTGAGATATTGCGAAAGTTGAATATCAAATGAAATCATCACAATAAAACTCCTTAAACGATTATAAAGTACTCAGTTGCATTGATGTGATTTTATAAATCGAAATTATTTATTTATATATTCTCATAGAATTTTAATGTCTACTGAATTGAACTTATTTCAAACCAATGTATTGATCCTGAATTCTTGTTTTAGAAATGGACCTCTTCATTTTGATATAAAAGAAAAACGTTTTAATGATAAGTTAATTTTTCAAAATGATAACTATATCCATTAAACAATCATATAGTGAAATAGAATTAAAAAACAGTTCTTTTTTTCTCTTATTCTAACAAAATTGACTGACCGAAATCTTCAGATCAAGAGATTCCGTTCCAATTTTTCAGTTGCTTTTGTAACAAAGCATAATTATCGCTTAAATTCGGGTAAATAGACTGCATCGGATAATCGACATTTCACTAATGGATTTCACCTAAACAAGAGTTAAAGATTATTTTGAAATTAAATTCGATTTCACTTTTAAATTTCATATTGATAAATTAGTATATAGAATGCAGCACAGCTATCAAATGGATTACATTCATTATAATTGAATGGATGTTCATCAATTGGATATTTTTTTCATAAACACTTAATGCTTTTCGTGTCTAAACAAAATAACAAAACAGAACGAGTTTTAATTTCTGTTTTTACTTCTTTTCGTCTTATGTATCAATTAAAACGAAACAAACTGAATTGTTTTCAAAATATATGAAAAAACAGACATGCTTTCTTTCTTGTTTTTTGGTTCGACAATGAAATTTTAATAATAAGACAAAACAAACTTGTTCAGCAATATCAGGTGCTGATCCTAATGCTAGTAAACCTTTGGGAAAGCTTGTTGCAGTTTCATATATTTTTAATTTCAAACACTTCATTTATTGCAAATTTTAATGTCATGATTTTAGGTAATGATTATAATTCTAAATGAGTAAAATAACCAACTAATTCATATGAATGCTTTTCATTATCTTGCGCTAAAATTTTCGTTTCTGTCATTGACATTTGTCAACCAACAATGTATATTCTCTTTACATATCTCATTTCATGGTTGACTTTCAAGAATAAATTGACATGATTCAACAATAAATAATGGAACAGATAATAACATTGAACGCAATTTTTCAATTGTTATTAAATGATAAGCGATTTGAAAGCGTCCAACTAATTCTTCTAATTTTAATCCAACTGCTAGATAAAATAATTTTGGTGAATGGGCTTCACACTTTAGTAATTAAAATAAAAATTTAAAAATATTTATTAAATAAACAAATAAATACAAACCAATTTCTTAATGGATATGCATATAATGATGGTCACGATCGACGTGCTGTAAAAGCTGTACGTGAACGTGAATATATTTGAATAAAAACATACAAGATCAGGTGGTAATTCAATTTCAGTATCACCTCAACCTTCACCTTGTTCATTTTGATTATTATTAAGATTTTCTCTATTAAGATCATCTTCATCACCTTCAATTTTTACTTCATCATCAGCCCAATCTCTACCACTTATTGCTTTTTCATCAATATGAAGATTTGCAGCAAGTTTTGCTGCTATGTTTGATATAAAACCTGCTTTGATTCTTGTTGACTTATTGGACATGGTGGTAAACAGGGATGCCACCTCATGAAGTCGAAAAAGCGCAAAGTTGACGTAGAAAAGCGGAAAATTGCGGAAACTTATTGCGTTGCGGATTTTTAGCATTAATGAGGATTTTGAGCGTTTCTTAATATCTATAGCATTCTGTTTTTATTTTAACAAAATTGCAAAACATAAAATATTGTTGAAATGAATAAGAATGACTATGCTTCACTTTATGATAGACAAAAGTGCCTTCTGCAGCTGCTGTTTCTTCAGCCTCCTTGTCAGATTTAATAGTTGATCTTATCAATTGTCGATTTATACGAAATGATTTTATGTTGTTATTATGTCTTTTCAACTTTATGTGACGATCAATATCATTTTTTCCACCATCATGAACTGAAAAATGTTCGTTAGAGGTAATACAAAGAACTTTAGCTGAATCTGGTTCATAATCTCGTAAAAAATGATGCGAATTGAGGATTAAGTAGCCATTGTGAACAAAACATGCCTTTCTTTATATTTTGATAAGCACCTAGTATAGCTTCAACAGTTTTATTTTCATTTTATTTCAGAGTTGGTGATGGTTTTATTAAATTTTCACGATCTGTTTCATCTTCATTTGTAACCTCATTATCTGTAGACCATAAAAAACGTTTAAATTTTCGGATTTGAGATTTTTTTTGTGTAAATATAGTAGGCAAAATAAGTTGAAAAGAAGCTAACTATCAGTTGAGAGCAGAGTGATGTTTTTAATTCCCGAACAGGCGATTAGTTCGCAAGCCCTCTAACATAGAAAAACTTTATGTGTTCATCCATTGATTCTATGGATGACATAATAGAGACCGTTACAGATTAGGGCTGCCCTGAGTCAGGGTAGGGCAAAACTTTTGCCCTCTGTTTAAAAAAATATTAAGAAAAACATGATTTTATTAGAATTTTAATCATTCAAAATGAATTCATTGAGTATTATTTTAATTGAATTTTAATCAAATTATGTAATCTTCAAGTCGTTTTGATAGAATGACATTAATATTGAAAAAAAATGATTTTTAAGCAATTAGACGTTATAACTACAATAGATTAACACTGATTGATTTTCCAGTCAAATTCATTTTTTCAGTGTTTATCTAAAGAAGTCTTTATATGAAAAGGCTTTCTCGCTCAAAAAGCTTAAGTTTATGCGCATGAAAAAATAGATTTAACTAAAGACATCTAATGATAAGTTGTCTTTCAATCTGAAACTTAGGCTTTATTCGATTGAATTGGAAATTACTGTAGTCAACTTTAGACTAACTTCCATGAAGAATAAAACATCTTCCTACATAAGAGAATCTCTCATAATAACATTTAAAAGGCATAATGAAAGGTAATGGATCTCACAAAACTCTTTCTTTGGGAAATTCTGTGGTTTTTTTGGACCAAAACATAATAAGCTAGCCTTTCAGTAAAAGACTACTTTTTATAATGAAAATTAATTTAAACCTATTAAGCTCATATTTTTAGAATAAAAGTGGGCATTCTGCAAAACTTATTGCTAAATATGTCAGCCCATACAAAAGACTTAAATTCAGATTGAAATCGATTGTTTTGCATTAAAAATAGACAGAAATGGCGATATATTAATCTAATTTCAATCAGATTTTTCAGTGTTGCAGATAGATTTCATTTGATTTTTATCTTTTTAAATATATTTTAATCGATCACTAAAAATAAATTAATTTTCACTGATTATTAAAAATCGATTTAAGCTGATTAAAGTTTATTAAGTTATGAAAATAGATAAAAATAAAATGAAATCTGTCTTTAAGGCTGGAAACTCTGATTAAAATAGCGCCATTTCAATCAACTTTTATTTCAAAAAGAATCGATTTTAATCTGATTTCTAACCATTTTTTACATGAAAAATTCAATCGTATAAATTTTTTTCAAAACTCTGGATTTTATAAGTAAATGCTAGCAAAAAGCTTTTCATAGTTAAACTTATTGGCATTTAAGTTTATAAATTGAATTACCAATTAGGGTGATATCTTGAAGTATGATATGTGTCGAAGTTAACTTAGCTTTACACGTACCATTTTTCTTAGTGAAGAGTAGGGGTTGGAAGTTACCGTTGCCGGGA